AACTCATTTTCAGTTGTAGACTTTAATTAGGTAACCTTTGCCTCTTGTGGGTTAAATCCACCCTCCTGGCTCCTTCAGGTGATGGTAGTGGTAGCAGAGTGGAAGCTGAGGAACTGAGTCCAGGAGGTAGGGAGTGAGGACAGCCACTTTGAAAGCACTAGTGATATGCCTCTTTCTCAACAGCTTCTCTGGCTCCAGCTGTTGGGAAATTATCTTATGGTCTCTTGCTTTCCCTTTGGGAAGGTTGTCAATAAAGTTGAGAAGTATCTATCCATTTACAGTGCCCAGATGAATATTATCCAAACACCTTTCAGCCTGATCCAAACTGAACTTGGGATGGAAATAACAGTCCTTGCTTTAGTCGATATCCTTTGTGGTGATCAAAATGAGGTAGGTGTTTCTTCTGGTCTTACGAGACTTCTCAGTAGCATCTGACACCATTGATCATGATATTCTTCAGGTCGGTCTATGAGGGTTGGGAGTTGGAGAGGTTAATTGCACTGTTTCCTGAGTGTGCATTTCAAGCTGATGGTGCTGAGGAATCAGAAGTTGAGCATTCACTGCTGGGTTGTCCCCAAATTCTCTTTGCTTTTCACTATCCATATAAAACCATTGGATCTCAGTGAGGTGTGCTTTACATCTCCACTAAAGTTGCTTTTGAAGTCTTCATTGGGAGTTTGAAGGTTATTGGGACCTGGATGAATGCAGGTTGCTGTTCACTCTAGGAAGATGTAGTTACTATTTGTGCTATTTGTTCAGAAGAGTTTTCTATTTCAGTTGTAACTGAGGATAGTGGGGGGATACTTCTTCAAGCAGAACTGCAACTTTGGATCCTCCAAGATTCATGGCTTCTGCCAAAGGAGCTTGTTGAGGCTGCTGCCAGGAATCAGCTGGGGACCAGTTGCAGGTCTACCTAAAGTGGGAGGATCTGACAATGGTGATTCATGCCCTTATCATCATATGACTGAACTACTACAATATGCACTTCATGGGATCGCCTTTGAAAACCACTTGGACAAAGTGCAAAATGTCTGCATGCATGCTTGTAAAATTTGCTTATTATGCTTGTACAGTTGAAAAAAATAGCTCCATCTAATTACATTTTTGTCACAACAAAAGGCTTGATTAGTAGCTTCCAGTTCTTTTTAATCTCCAACTTCTTTCATCTGAACAAATGTTTTTTTGAGTAGCAAATAATTTAATTCACATTTGATGCTTCTCTTATTAGCTGCTTTATATAGGCAGTCCTTCTGGTTTCAAAGAAGACAGGCTGTTGTGCAGTTCATTTGCCAAAATAATTATTCAATTTATTTTTGCTCCTGATCTTTACTGCTACTGGTCCAATATAAACAGACTGATATTTTTCTTTCTTGCAGATGGGATCATACACCTCAAAGGTTTTAAACATTCAAGTGCTGCCTGAGTTATTTCTCTTTCAATCTCCAGAAATGTCTTAAGCAACCCCTGATGAACCATCTCCTATTTTTCCACTTCTCTTCTGCAGAGCAGTCCCAGAGTTTGTTAACTCTTAGTAGTTTGCTGTATCGTTTTCAAAGTCCAATTTTTCTGTAGGAATGAGCAGTTTCCTAGAGAAGGTTCTCAGCCTCTTTAGAAGTTACCATTCTTTCCAGCATTAGATTAGTATAGAGATCACTGTAGCTAGCAATAACAAATGTACATATTTTATTATTTTTTGCAAGCTGTCCACAATCATGAGAATATGTTGTGACATACAAATATTTATAAATAAATATTCCATTAATAATACTCCATTATTATTGGGTTACATTTCCATATCTTTACATTGAGAACCTATCACCCAATATCCAGCAAAAGTTTACAAAGCCAAAGCTATTCCTATTTTAATCATGAAAAATGTTTGTCCAATTTTATGGAATAGTATAAAGAACTGTTGGGCCAAATATTCTATCTTTTACTTTTCACGCTTCACTAAGAGTTGAATACACAACTTTGATATAAGAACAATTCTAGGAAAATGCTTATCCCCTATCCTAATTAGTTAAGACCTTCATTGCTATTTCAGTTATCAGAATTAAAAGATAGTATAAATGATTCTAGTATCTGTCATGTACGTAGCACTAATTAGTTCCCATAATAGAACTCCTTTTTTATCTGCGGTATAAATATACAAACAATTTACACCTAATACAAATAATTTGATTGACTAAAAGAAATATGAGAACAGTCAAAGCAACAAGAATAGTTCAAATTACCGAGGGAGGACAATAATTTAGACAAAGGCATATTTATTTTCCATAATGTGTTGAAACACATTTTCCATAGTGTGCATTGCATGGTTATTGTTGTAGGTAATGAAAATTAATTGCTATTCCCTTTCTTCTCTGTGGATTTTTAATTATTTTCCTTACTTTACCCACTTTGTATGTATTGGTATAAAAAGAAAAATATTATAACAGATATAGAAACTATAGTGCATTTTATTAATAATTCTTAGCTTCCAAATACATTCCAGTTTAACATAAATGTACTCAACACACACAGAAGATACAAGTATAAAATTAAATAGAATTAGAAAGATGCTTTCAAAAATATATAAAAAAACCCTGAGGTATGTTTTTAGTTTCAGGCTGTTTCACATATACATGTATAGTAGCACCAATCTGAATGAGATCTGTGCATCTATTGAAAAGTGTAGTTTTAAATGATGATATGAATATTAAGTTTAGTGCTCTTTTATGATTATTTCAGAACAAAAATTACTCAAGTTTTATTTCTGTTTGATGGCAAAGTAATTGAAATAAAGTTTATACATGTGTATTCATATACGTCTATTCATCAGTCTATAAGCAAGAGAATTTTAGAGAAAATAATAATATTCTATTTAAATTATAACAGATTTAAAATAAGAAATTTATTATGGTAGTATTAATTTTGTCACTATTAAAAATTGTTTTTATAACATTTGTACCAGATTTTAATTAAGTGAATTGTTCATATCAAGATATTTATTGAATAACCTGTGTAAAGGAATCCTTGTTTTGAAAAATGTGATTAGAAAAAAATTCTACAGTGAAATGGTGGGGTGCATGGCAAAAGCAAAGTTTTGATGAAGTTAGGAGCTATTTGACTGTTACTACAGAATGACATTGTGTCATTCCTAGCAACAAAGAAAATAGTATATGGTTGTGAAGGTTGGACCTTAAAAAAGCAAGACAGGAAACAAAAATCCTCATTTGAGCTGTGATGCTGGAGAAGCCTTCAGCATATTCCTTGGGCAATAAAAGTGACTAACAAACAAGTACTGGAGCACATAATATCAGACATATCACTAGAAGGCAAAATCACAAAACCGCGTGTCACTTATTTTAGTCACGTCATGCAGGGAATTCACTGGAGAAAGCAATTACGTTTGGAAGAGTTAATGGTAAAAAGGAACCAAAGAACATAGTGGTTGGACACAATCAAAGCTGACACCAGCCAGAACATACAACCACTCGAAGTAGTGCAAGATCAAAAGATGTGGGAAGTTCTGGTCCAAGAGTCAGACATGACTGAATGGATAACATCATCATCACTTATAAGCTTTGAGGCATTTTAAAAAGCCCACATACCAACTGCCAGCTGTGTGGAAAATAATTCTGCACACCTGACCATTCCTGCTAACTGAATACTGTAACACATAAAAATGTCAGTAAAAAAAGCCAAAACAGTATACAATGCACTTTCTTTATTTGAGCCTCAATGTTATGAACTTTATAAATTTTCAGTGCATGCTGAGTTACTTCTGACTTCTGCAAGAGGCAAATAAAAAAGTTAAGGATATAGAGCTGAAAATCAACATTACAAAACTTTTGGAATTTCACAATTTCTTAAAACATCACCAAGTATGTTATGTCAAACTTTTTTCATTTCATATTTGCCTGTTTAATTAAATACGAGAAAGCAAACAATATTTTCCTGTGTGATGAAGAGTAAATTTTTCAATAGCAGGATTTTATAGAGGTGAGACGCATGATCATATTAATAAATAAGTGCACAAAGGTTTTGGATATTGAACAAGGTATTTTAAAAAATATATTTGGAGCTAGTTGATATTTCACCCATTAATAGGTTTTATTTAGCACCAAATAGAGTGTAATTATAATATTGCAAGGCAATCATTAAAAAATGTCTGTGTTCATATTTGCTGTGAGATGAAGACCCCCAAATAACTTACCATTAAAGGTTACTATGTTGCAAAGATAAATTGTGCAAATGAATATGTTCTAACATTCTATACAGTATTCAGGTATATCAACCATTTCTAATTATACATATTTAATTAAACTGGATAAAGTCATGTGAATAAATGTATTTCAGTAGCAGCTACTCCTTAAGTAAATCACGATCCTTCATCAAAAGAGGAAAAACAGAGTACATACCTATGAACAGAAACTATTTGAAGGACAAAAAAGCCAATTGTATTTGATAATTAATAAGCATGGGAAATAAATAAGATATGCATTTCTTATTTATTTATTTCAATTTAAATGGATACTCCTCTTGTCACAATGACACTGGGTGGTGCATAAAATTTAATTGAAATCATAAAACATACAATGCTAGCCGTATAATTCAAATCAAAAACAGCAGCCAAGAATAAAAAGCAATATATCAACCCACCCCATAAGATATATATAATTCAGAAAGCTGCTTAATCAAATAAATCAAATGACTGATTATTTTCACTCAAATATGAATTAAAGTTCTCTTCTTGTGACAGACAGCTGAGATGGCTTTAAGCCAATGCACTGATGAGTGTGTGAAGAATGAAGTTGTGTGGAGAATAAAAATGCTTTGAAGTTATTTATCTACAAGGAAATGGGGCATTTTAATGACTAGAAACATTTTGGGCCCATCCTCATTTGATGTACTTATCTTCTTCTTGCCAATCTCCAACACTCTGCCTAGGGAAGCTCTTGTTTTAAAAATCAAATACAAAGATAATAGCAAACATAAATATATGGTCAACCACATTATTAAATTCATAGTGAAAGTTTATTGTTCTGTTTCCTAGTACAATAAACTACCAAGTTTGTACAGTATAAAATAACAATAGCACAAAGCAACAATACAAAGTAATGCTGACATTGGGTTCAGAGTACAGCAGAGGAAATGGCTTCAGTACTGTCTTGCAAATTCTACTGCACACATAAAAGCTAATACTACTGATTTTAACATAAAATTTTCTTCACATTTAGATGCAAGAGGATATATAACTTGGGGATCCTGGTTATATCACCAGTTAAATGGCAAGGAACACAATGAAATAAAAAGTTAAAAAGGAAAAAAAATCACAAAATTCTCTAGATGGGTAATGACTTGTTCCAACTATACCACTTTGTGCACAGCTCTCACCAAAGCAAACAGCCTGTAGAGAAAAACAAAAAGGTTAGAGGATGAGCCAGTGTACGGGCCTGGGAAAAGTAATCACAGCTAATAGTAAACCAGGATTTTCCCCAATTTTTGAACTGTGCTATTCTCTTTCTTCCAAACTGCATGCAGTCCGAGATTAGATATCTGAGTTTAACCAAATGATTAAAATAATGTCCAGATCCACCCCATCCACTATGTGCTCTTTAGCTCATTCTCAAGTACACATGAAGGTATAGAAGGTTCAGCTCTAACCTTAAAGGAAGACATCTTCCATGTGCCAACTGATTCAGATGTATTTGGTGCGATTGAGGGCTTTCTCAGCAAAATGACCACTTTCATCTGTGATTTTCTCCCAGTCTGTTTGCCCCACAACAAAACCAATGGCCCTTTTTCTGTCTGCATCCTTTTTTTCTTCAAGATCTGCCCACCTTACCTATAAAAAAGATGTGCTGCTTGGATAACAGTCATTTCAGGAAAGAGAAGCAACATGCATAAATCTCTGATGCAATTTTACACCCTGCAGAGATTTCGGACAATTTAGAAAAGGGATTAGCCATCACTTCTCTTGAGCTTCCTACTGTATTTAGAGGTGAACAAAAGGTTAAGTCTTACCCATGTTTAATTTTGTAATTTTAAAAATCAAGCATTTGGATGAAGATGATAGTTCTAAGAGAAAAAGAATAAGAATACTTAATCACACTCTTAATCTTGCCCTCTTTCACAAACCTTCCTACTTGGAAAAATAAATGAAAAATTAAATTCTTTTTCAAAACGTTCCTATTTTTTTAATTTTTCAATGCTTGTTTATATTTTAAATTCTGTTTCTTATTAGGCATTAGTCCCTTAGAGCTTTGTCTGACTGTTCCACATACCTTTAGAAGCACCCAATATGTCTTAATATTTAGGAATGTTTAGGAATGTTGCTAATTTTTTTATCATTGGAGTTTTTATACTTCCTACTTTGATTACTGAAGTTAAATGCTGTTATATTCAGCTCTATTCTAGATTATAGGTTACCAGTATATCATATCATAAAAGGGACACAGATAATATTCTAATCAGTCTGTTTTCCAAGTTTATTCCAAGCACTAGGTATACAAGTTAAACTGTTAGCTTGATTCACATTCTGCTTTCTTTCATCCGCATTATTTATTTGTAAAAACTATACTAATTAGATTATAATGAAACTAAGAAACAAAACACTGAAGTAATAAGGGGGAAAAGATATGTCAGTGAATCTTGTTCCACTGTTCTACTGACTTTGTAACTTACAAAATTTGTTGGCAGGATGGACAGTCAAAAGCCGGAAAACTTTAAAAACATTTTTTAAAATTACAATCTAAGCAATTTTTGCATACCCTTGGTAAAAAGGTAGAAAACTATTTCAAGAAGAGACATATTTCAAGGAGATATTGAGAAAGTAATGAGAACGCTCTCAATTGCTGAGACAATAACACAATGCTCCAGTTGCATTTAGTTGACTAGCTTGGATGGGAAAGAAATGTGTATTTCACTGAAAAATAAGGCTGTGCCCACAGTCACTTTTCAAAACTCTTGGGAGTGTCCACTAACCATAACTGAATGGTCATTGCCATTTTGAGATAACAAACACTTAAAACCATAAATTTCAAAAAGCAGTTCAATGTTGAAAAACAAATAAAATAACTCCATTGGACATAACAATGTTAAGTATACTGAAAGGTTGTTCTCTCCAGATATAAATGAATTATATACCAATATGATTTATTCAATATACTTTTGAGCAATAGCATTCCATTAACAAACATATCACCATTGCAAAAATAGAACTGTTCACCCTATCAGAACAGCCAAGTTTTAAGAGCTTTCCTACAGCTCAGTGTGGCTGGGGTATGTTAAACCAAGATATTTATTACCCTTTTTTTCCCAGGTTCAGAAGCACGGCTATCGTAATCATCTGGAAGCTGAAGGTAATCTTCCATTCTGCTGGCAATTGCTTCCCAATCACGTTTCCTCTTAGTACCAGTTCGCAACCCATCCAATTTGTCTGAGAACAAACACATAGCCTTATTGTTAAATATAATTTTGCATACGTGAACACAATGCATGGAGATTTTCTTAAACAGATCATTGACAATATATAGTGGTGAAATCCAAACATTAGTGGATGTCTTTGCGAGTGGCATAAATTCAAAATGGAGCACCAGTTCTACCCTTTCAAAATCCTAAATTCAAAATGGAGCACCAGTTCTATCCTTTCAAAATCCAGCCTTTTGTGTGCAAAATATGAACATGCATATGTATAAGAAAAACTACTTCTTGCTTCGAATAGCTAACAGAATCCTTGTTCAATGATGATACCTCAATCATTTCTGAAGTCTAGTTTAGAAGTTCCATTCTATGATTTAAGCCAACACTATGGAAAATGCATGAGATGTTCCACAAAGCATTATGGAACATTATTTCAAAACTATCACCAGACAAAGAATTTGAATGTAATGTAGAATACCACCAGCTAAGAAGGAATTACATCCAAAAGCAGATTATTTTCCCCCTTTGCTTCAGCAGTTGAAATATGTGGTTGTAGTAATTATTTGGTATGGATCAACACATTTTTCTAAAACAGTATCTTGCAAACTTATTTCTACAGGCTACATATAAGCATATATAAGTAAAACTGGTGTTTAAAATAACTGTTTTTTCAGTCTCACCATACTGTGTAGACAGATAGTTTAAAATTATTATCCCAGTCTCACCATATTGTGAAGTAGACAGATCTTAAATTTATTACAAAAACCCCTATATTTAAATGCAAAATATATTTTAACTTTTAAATATTCTTTTAAATGGCTATCATAGACTATTAAAAATAGCAAATTCCATATTATGCTGTTTTCTGAATCGAATAACTTACATACTTATTTGTTAACAAACCATGCAGAAAAGTGCATTGATTGAAAAATTAACATATTATGTTTATATCAGAATTATCTCTATCCTAATAATTTATATGGTTTTGTTATTTTTACTGGAAGAAGTTAAAAACTTAAAAGCTTAGCAAAATTACAACAAGTGGGCTATTAAGTATATAATTATGTTTTAAGATTTTTTTAAAGCAGTCAGTTAAACATTCTGCCTGTGTTTAATTATTCTGTTAACAGAAGAATTTATTCTGGTCTAAGTGCTTTAGTTTTTCTGTAATAGTAAAATGTACTAAAATCTATTGAACATTTTCACAAATTATCTTACCAAAACCAATTTTATTTAAGAGACAGATTTTCAGCAGCATGAGGTAATGTGTAAAAACCATGAATAAATATAGCCATAT